GCTCCACAAGCAGCAAGACAACCAATGACCTAGGGGCAGCTACCAACTCCTGTACGACGCTCCTAGGAGATCAGGAGGAGATGACAAAGGCCACAGCGAGACCACATCACGTAGGATGGCTGGCGAAACATCCTCGTGCCCACAGTGCTGCCACAACCAGCATAGTAGCACCACGCCACACCATGCCATGACATGGGCACAAGACCATGATGACAACCACTCCTGGATATGCGCAACAAGGCGGCATTACTTGCAAGCAAAGTTAGCTAGGTTTCCTCCCTTAGGCTCATGACCCTTCAGTTGGGAGAACCTCCTTCTTTGTATGTGACTTGGCCCTAGACTCTATATAAGGGCGGCCAGGTAACCCTTCCAGGATCATCATCAGACTCTTGAAGCTCTCATTTGGGCAGTCCGTCTCCTAGCTCTAGCTCTCCTATCTCTTCCACCATTATTGCACTCGACCATCTCTGAGACTGGACGTAGGGCTCCGGCCTGAACCTCAGTATAACTCCTCGTGTCTTTTGGATGCTACCATCGTCTTTCTAGAGCAGCGCGACATTCGTATGAATTCACTAGTCGGTCTACAAAACACCGACACTTTCACTTCTAGAACAGCCTCATCTTGGGATCTGAGAACCGTAAGGAGCTGCCCTAGATTCTCGACGGATTCTTCTACTGTAGCTGGAAAGGCAAATGCTACATCACCAGCGTCAATGGTGAATACCCCTCCTTATCCTTCTTGTCCTTCCCCATTTAGGATGTCGTGATCTCAGATTGCTCTCGGGGCCTCATCCTCTACTGGTACTTTGGGTTTTGCTATGTTGTCTGCAATCCGGTGGCTAAGAAATAGTTGCTACTGCTGGGTAGCAACCATTCTTGTGGTTCAGCTCGCTTGAGGTTCGATCCGACAGTCTCCTCGCACTTCCATGTGTTTGAATATGGGATCAACGATGATGACTCCTTAGGTGTCAACATCTACTCATCTAAAACTGGAGCATGGATCTTTAAAGAATCTGAATGGGGCAAGGGTATTGTAGTATCCACATATGGGAAAGGTGTGTTTATTAATGGCTTTATGCACATGCTGGAGTTCACCCAGATAGCTGCTGTTGATATGGAGGGAAAGACATGGAGAAAAAATCGTAGGCCAACTGGTGATGCAATTTCCATCCATGAAGCTCAGGGTCAGTTGTGTTTATGTACTGCTGATACTTTGAATAGGTATGAGCTTTCAATTAGGATCCTTGAAGACTATGGTACTAGTAAATGGACATTGAAGCATAAGGTGACCACACTAGAGCTATTTGGATAGAAGAATATTGAAATTGGTATCAAGGTTTGCGATGCGGCCTACAGGGTGATTGTAGTTCATCCAGAATGGAAATTGATTTTCCTTGTTGGGGAGGATAAAACACTGCTTGCATATGACATGAACCGCAGTAAAGTTCATGTCCTCCCTACCCAGGCCATCGGCTATCCTAGAAGTATCTGGAAACTATTATGTATGAACGGCGAACCTTACTATCTTTCTTATGTTTCCTTGTTCATGGAGTCATTAGCAGAGTAGTAAAGGTGCATATGCTGTATTTTGTTGTTACGTCGTGCCTTTGTTCAGGTAGGTAGTTGTTTTCATTATATATATAGGTCAATTTGGGCTTGGTAACTAAAGGAATGGTGTGTTGAATATCATTAATTCTGCTACTTTATGCAGCAGGAGTCTAAGTGGTTTTGAACAATTTTCCTGCATTGGCTAAGGGAGGAAGAAGAGGGGTTCCATGATGCATTGCCTACCAATCCGAAGGAAGCTTTGCCTTGCAAGCAGGAGTGCTAATCTAAAGGAGCAAAGCATATCTACCTTGTTTTCGTTACGTAAGTTTGTAGGGAGCAGAACCTTTATTCTGCTATCTATGTACCGCTTGTGTTTATTCATCAGTTGACACAGTTGTTATGTTAGTGTCGATTGTTATTATAAAAAGTACTCTTCGTTTTGGACATAATGAATAGTGTGTAATGATTATATCTGTATGGGTGTGTGTTCAGTAAGTTATTAAGGACCAGCTGAATTAGTATAGAAATTGTGAAAACTGGATGTCATCATCGTCGCTATTCGTCTGATGCGGCGGGGGTCAATAGTGTATCACCACCGAATCGTTTAGTAACCCGACACCGATAAAAGGATCATCACAGGTGGATCGTACTGCAACCCGACGGTGACCATGCCCTATGACTAGACGGTTCATACGCTGAAGCGACGGTGATGTTCGCCTCGACACAGGCAGGTCGTGCTCTAATACGACAGAAACAAGGACCTGATCACGGACGGATCATAAGCCAATAAGGTGGTGTTAGTGTATACCCACACAAGCGGGTTGGTCCCTAATGCGACGAAAATAAGGATCTGATCACGGACGGATCATAAGCCAATGTGGTAGTGTTAGTGTACACCACAGTCGGTCTCAGATGCCGATGGTAAAGGTTATGGCCATCACTGTCGACAGCTTACTGTCGAGGCCGAAATTGGACTGCAACTGGGGTTACGACGTGGCTGTGAAAGGTCTGAATGTAGTAGGTGCAGGTTTACCAAGTGCAGCTATGGATTTGGGATTAAACCAAAAACATGAGAAAATAGAGAATAAATCTTGAGATTGAGATTGAGTACTTAGCTCTCTTGGGAGCTTCCATAACCACTAACTTGAAGATCCAATCTCTTAGATCCATGTTCACAACTCCAAAAGATGAATTGGTTACTCATGAGCTTCCTCTTGCAAACATTCCAAAAAGATGAATCAAAAGGAAATCCAACGGATGCATGGGTGATTGATCTAGGTGAAGATCTCTTGAACTTACTCTACATATGATGGAACCACCAACAGTAAGAAATCTTCAATCTTGCACCAAAAATTACAAATTAGGTCTTTGGAGAAAAATCCAAGAAATAAGAGAACTCTTGAGTTAACCATAGATGAAGTTGAAGATGTCCTTGAGATGGTGCTGGTGCTTCTCTTCTTCTTCCTTTCCTTCTCCGATCCATTCTCCAATCCTTTCTCTCTCTAGTTCTAGGGTTCATCCTTGTTCCTGAGTGTAAAGAGAGAGAGGGGGTGAAGAAAATAAATGAGTGAGTGGGAGTGGGGGTGAAGTGAAGTGGCTTCAGCTGATGAAGAGCTCTAGCTAGTGCTGACATGTGGGTCCCAGCAATGCAAATGGAAAATACCTCATTTTCCACTTTCCTTCACTGTTCTGTAATTTACCGGATGGTCCGATAAAGCTGGCGGACTCTCCGGTGATCCTCTGTCTTTGCTGAATTGATTGAACAATTGGGAGGCTTGGTATTGAGGACCAAGGCATTATATCCAAGGGTGATTTCTGGCCTTGAGAAGGTGTTGATGATGTCAATTAGTTGCCGTCTGATCTGAGTAAGAGTTTCATTCCTTTGATCATTGACCTGATCATGTCCCTTCTGGGTGGCTTCGCGAGGTTGATTGGTGAATTCATGACAGTTACACGTGTCCAAGGCACCAGGGCTCCACAGGGATCTCCACAGGTGAACAAGTATCTAGGCTGAAAGCTTCTAGTAGCTATTTCGTAGAGCTAGGGTAGAGGTTCAAATTGGAACAACATTTCAGGTCGTTACGAACACAATGGTGAAGTATATTCATACGTTTGAGGAAGTTTGGGAAGTCAGCTTTCATCAAGCCCGTGTTTCTTTTGATGTTTTGCTGCGCCAATTGACCTCTGACTTGTCCATGACGTCTGTAACTTGTTGGTGGTGCCCAAAATCACCTTAAGACATTTTTGAGTGTTAACAATTCTCTAGATACATTATTTTTACTGTATCTATATCTAAATGTATAGCAAAACTATAGAAAACCCAATACGTCTTACATTTTGAACAGAGGGAGTATCATTTATGAGAGACATGACACTTGAGCAATCGACTTCATCACAGAAACGACAATAGCATTCCAAATGTATACACAAAGCAGGCGGCAAAACAGTAGACTGATAGATAATAGGCACCCTCTTGGGCCTGCCTAGCATAACCCCTGAGCATTACAGCATATGTCAAACCAAGGAACGGCAAACAAAGCTTGGGAGAAGCCAAATCCAAGTAGTACCATCTATATTTAGCGTCAACACGACAGTTACAACTTCTAGGTTTTGAGTGCCACTTCCCTCACCATGAAGATCTAGTTGCTAAGCTAAGCATTGGATGAGATTGCTAATGAGCAAGGGAGGGTTCGAAACTGGACACAGACAAGTATATACTAAGTAAATCAGGCTGTTGAGGTTCACAGGGTCTTCTATGAACACAGACAAGCATATACTAAGTAAACCAGACAAGCATAACAGTCGGTGTCTTAGAAACATGAGATGGAAGCCAAAGTGCGATGGAACCTGCAAGGTACCAAAAACAGTGGTTTCAGTATACGACTTCAAATGCAAGGGCATGTCACCCTTTGTGTTTCTTAAAAGTTTGCTTTTGGTTCCAGATTGTTCTACCAACATGTAGATACGATGGTCATGCTTAGAACTCAAATACTAGCATCGCAAAGAAATGAATTTCTCAAATATAGCATTTAAGCAAGGGCCATAAAAGTAAACTAGAATCTATGAATTTGAAACAATCACATTAACAAATATTGAGGAACATGAACAGAAAAATTAAACTGAATCCATTTTATATATCTATGTCCAACCTGCAGAAATCCTAGGATGAGCAAGCAATAAGAACATCACAATGTAAATTTGTGCCTTCAAACTAAAACAAGCCATGCCCAACAATTCAAAACATGTGTGGCATGAACAAATCATGAGATACAACCTATACTTTATGTGTTGCATGTGTATTCATTCCACAGATGAAGATCTATTATTGTATTTACACATATGGAGATAATTTATACAACTAGTTTGCAGGTACAAAGTACAGGATAATACAGATAAAGAATAAATGTTATGAAACACTAAACAACTTATGCACCTGAGTTTCTGCCGAGATGTCAACACCATGCTGAAGATACAACCAATACTCTGTTCTTCCATCCAAGGTAAAGGACACCATCTCTCTCCTCAAGCCTGTAGTAGCTGTTGTAACTATGCAATAGTGTGTTGATGGTGTTGTTCAACACTGAACTTAGTGGGTAGGGCCTAAATCCAGCCATTGCAAATCTTGACTTCCATTTTCCATACAGCTCATGCCTCTCAACCCTTTCAGCACCCTCGCATGCGATTAAATTAACGATATCCCTTGCAACACAATGTTGTTCTGTGTTCATCCGCCTCCTATCATCCCTTGGGAGAGCAACATCTATTGACTCAAACATGGCTGTATAGTAGTTGAGAGTTTCCATGTATCTTGGGAAGAATGGAGCTGTGTTTGTATTTGACTCCTGCTCAACGAGAGTAACAACCCTAGGACTGATGCTCTTGATCATTCTTATAATCCTATCCCGATGATTTTCCGTACTTACACTTTCATCAGGAACATGATGCAGCTGATAGGCAAAATTCACAGCAATAATCTCCCCAGGTCTTATAGCAAGATGCTGAAGCTCAACCTCATGGCTAGCAGCTGGAACGGCATTGAACTCAAAAGGAAGACCACACGACTTAGCAACATTACACAACATCCTCCCAACTATATCAAGCCCGCCTCCTCTGGCATAAGCAGAATTTGAGTCATCTATACCAGTGATTCTGATGTATGGTGGACCACCAGGCCTTGCAGCAAGGGCCTGTACCAGAGTAACCCACTGGCTCCCCTGAGCAATTTGGAAATCAATGATGTGAACAAAGTTCTCACCCTTAATAGCCTCAGCAATGGCACCATTAGCTGACATGTAACCAAACTTGTAGAATGGGCAGATCTCGTAAAGGAGATGCATATATGACATGAGTTCAGAGCTTGTAGGTTCTTTACATTTCAAAGATTTATATAGCATACTGCCAGAGGAAGAAAGTCTAGCAACAATTCCTTCCAGCATATAGGCTCCAAGTCGTTGCATTGGATCTCCAGATACAGATACCACCTGACCAAGCTCAGATATAAGCAGCTCTGTTGCAAAGACGTCGTTCTCGGCAACAGCCTTACCACATGCTATGAGTACTTGCTTCAAGTCTCCTGCATCAATTCCCAGAAGTTGTCTCCAGTTGTCTGGTCTCAATTGAACATTGGCTTGTAACAAGCTCTCAGGGCTGTCAGAAATAATGTCCAAGTCCAATCCAGGTACAAGAATGGCATTCTCTAACTCTTTTAGTTTAGTCTGGAGATCTGCAACCTCAGTTAAACAGGAAGCAGTTGGGGGAGAACTATATGCGTGGTCTGAGTGGCTATCATGCTGAGACAGGGGGCTCCCACTTAAAGGGGAGATGCTGTGAGAAGATGTGGAGCTTTGTGCAGGATAAACACCATTTGCTGAGGATGATTCCAGAGTGCAGTATTGTGCCTCAAATACTTGAGGGTTGGAATTGTTGATCCTTTGTGACCCAGTATCAGGAGAGTAGTAGTGATTTCCTAGATTATTTTGCATCACATGAATCCTACCATTTTCTCCTAAAGGAGCCGAGTTGTTGTAATATGGCATTTGAGAATCATCTGAACATTTATATGAATGGTTAGAATCCCTAGCTGACATGCTTCCCTTTGCAACCTTGTAGGACAAAACTCAGCAGGGAGCTAATCCTGCCACCTTTATCACAATTGTATTTAGTGTGCTCACGTCATCCACTGAAAATGTAAAAGATTACGAAATTCACGTAAGACAGGAATATATAAGCATATCTAAATTATTTTTCAATACCTAGAGAAGAAAATTAGCCTTGAATGTTATATCTGAACTCATATAAATTTTACATGGATATATGGTTGTTGAACTATATTGTATTGTCAAAAGCATAAAACAAGATTCAACTATTATCACTTCTAGAACCAACAAATGAGAACCCTAAACCCGTAAATCCATGGTTTTACATAGCTCATTTTGGATAGGCAACTATCTGGATTCTCATTTAATTTTTTAACATAAAAATAAACAAATGAGAATCCAGACAGTTGCCAATCCAAAATGAGCTATGTAAAACCATGGATTTACAGATAGCTACATTTCATAGTAAGCTAACACCAACAAGAAGGGATAGTGTACTGTGGATTATCAACAAGCTCTAATAAGCTTAAAAGTTGAAATAAAGACAGGCCCATAACCATAACGCATGATCAACCATCACTGCAAACAATACCTAAACATAACCCACAATATCCAGTAAATCATTCCTTGCATGAAGATACAATAAAGTCCATGTTTGGTAGAGCTTTTCCAATGGCTCCAGCTCTGACTGAAGCTGTACCAAACGCCGAAGAAAGAAACAGCTTCGGTGGAGCCGCAGCTGGTTTTCTACGGGTCAGCCAGAGTTGCAAAAACATGGCTTTGCATTGTCATTCATTATATGAAATACCATACTTTTTTATTTCACATTGTCATTTGTTTGCTAATTTTTTTCTCAAAATCTTCATCGAGACCTCAAATCCCAAATCGGAGCCATAGGCCATGGATTGGAGTTGGGTGGGTCTCTGCTAAAGGATGCTGCAGGTAGGCTCATGGCTATGCCTGCAGAGGAGTGATAGCAACGTTCTAGCTCACCTTGGAATCTCATGTGGCAGCGGCGCTTTTGCATTCGTGTCTTTGTGGTGGCGGTGGCAGCGGCAGGTTCTGAGGAATAGCAGTCTGCTACAACCAAAGTAGAATGTGATCGTGTTCGCGAGCGAGGATAATGACAAGTCCGATTCGATGGCCGCCTGCACCCCGACCGTGTCGCACTCTTCCCCGCGGGGTACGAGTGTAAATGGTATGGATATTTTCTGACTGACCGTCTAACCTAAGGGCTACACATACTAAATAGATAATCCATATCCGAATCTGAACATTCAACATCCATACACTATTCGTATCTGGATACTCACAGTCGAATATGTATGACATTGATATCCATTCATATCTTATCCAACATAGCTGACACTATTCATACCCAATACAAATCCAAAAAAATAACCATATGTATTTGTATCTGTAGGTATCCAATCTGTTTACGCGCAGGCCTTCCCGGTATGTGGCTGCATCCCGCACTCGGCTGCCAAGCCGCACGGACACACCGCGCCCTTGCCCACACCCGCCTCACAGCAGCTACCCTAGATAGCACACGCCTCCAGCCAAGGCCACCGACCTAGATCTGGTCCGCTCCTCACAGCAGATGGCCTAGAGCCACTTGCTCTCGTGTCACCGCCACTCACGGATCCTGCCACCGCTAGGGCAGATAGGGACTGTTGCAGCCAAGCATGTCAAGGCAGGCCCTCTGGTTAGGATTTGATGGGTGGGAAGAGAAGATAAGAGGATAAAGGGTACTTTGGTCCTTTCTCATGTGTTTTTATTTTTTTATGCCATTTAATACGTTCAGATGCACTTAAGGGTCATTCAAAGTAAGGGCGAATACATTCAATTTCAAAACACGAGGGCAAAATCACAAAGTTGTAAAAGAAGGGTAAAATCACCATTAGCCTCTACAGTAAGGGCAAGAATACTAATCTCCCTAGATATTTAAGTATACAACTGAAGAACTATATACTTAAAAGTTTGCAAGTCTAGAACACTAAAAAGTATTATTTGACTCCACTTTGTATAAGAATATATAAACAATCAAATGTGTATGAGCTAAAGCCTCACAAGAACAGGGTGACAAAGGAATTTTCTACCTAGGCTATCGAGCTCACAGATCTGTAACGTTGTTATAGCAAACTTGACTATAGAATGAATCAACAAAAAATATTGCTCTAAGGTTTTCAACTAGCTGCTTTTTACAAAGAAAAAAAAAACACAATCTGCATCCATCTGTTTTACCATGGAAAAGATACATAATTGCTAAGAGTTCAAACATATAGAATCTCACAAACCCATCGTTCATGTAAGAAACCTTTTAAGTTGTATTCTCCTCTCTGATCCACATTTGACCATTATGAATATATTCGACGTGTTGGGACTGTGAGATATGGAAGGAAGGTAACTCAAGAATTTTTCATTGTGCTTCCAGACATGAACAATTGGTGAAAGTGATTAAAGACAAAGGAAGTTAATGGCTTTGAGATATCAATTCCTGTTAGTTTGTCTTGTTGTTTTAATATCTGTACAACTCCTCTCTGAACTTTCTTACTGATTGTGTAAGCTGTTAAATCATCCTACAAGTGTTGTGAGAGACATTCATTGAGGATTAGATTGTCAATTGTGGGCTGGACGTTTGTTTACTCATCTATACATATGACTGAAAAATGGATAACGTGTCAGCAATTGAAGTCTTGTTTCCAGAATAAATGATGCATTTTCGTTCCGAACTATTGGTAAGACCGACAACATTCAACATACCTGGAGAAAATAGAAAGTATGGAACAGGCCCAGCGATGAAACTGCACCTTACAATTAAATCCCAAGGAAACCATCAATGCCAATAAATAAACTTCAAAGTGGTGATCCTATATGTTTTCACAAGCTAAGTTGGATGAATTATATTCCAAATGTTTAACTATGTCATGTAATTGAATTTTGTTTCCAATCGATTCCACACTGGCCACCACTGACATTCCGGTAACAATTGACAAATAAAATGCTTACAATACTGTGTACGCGAAGAACAGAGTAAATACCCTAAGCTTTACTCAATAGCAGTAGGCCAAGTATGATCATTTTAAAGAACATGAAACTGTGCTCAACAGTGGTAGCTAAGCTATCTTTATTTCACGGTCTGGAGGCCTTTTTTTAGTGTGATTTTCAAGATCCTAGGTAAAGGAAAAATTGAAAATGAATTCAGCAAATTAGCAACCACGGAGCAAATTAACATCCAGGGAAGACACGATACACATCCCTGAACCAAATTGAAGACCAACCCAAGTCTATCACCGCAAAGCTTCAGGCATAATACACAAAATCAAGATACAAGCTTACCCAGGTCTAAACAAGCTACTGCGGAAAAGGCATACCATCAAGATACAGGCGTCCCCAGGCGATTCTTGAATCTCCTTGACCCTCATGTGGAGCAAAAAAAAAAACAATTCGCGGATCGGACCTCAGCTGAAAGGAGGCAGTAAAGAAGAGAGAGACCAGCCCAAGGGTAGAGGAAGAGGGAGAGGCAGAAGAGAGAGAAAAGAGAGAGGGATAGGGAAGACGACGACTGCTCAGTGATGGGGAATGAAGGTTGGACTGGTGTGGCGTGGAACAAAAGAAGCCCTTTTCATATATCGAAGAAAAGCTAGGGAAAATACGAGCCGCAAGAGGGAGAAACAGACATGACGGCGCACCACGACTCCGCTGCCCCCGTTTGGTCTTTTTCTACCACCGTATCTTCCTTTTCTTTAGCCTTTGTTAGCAATCGCGCAAGAGCGACTAGAATAGAACGGAATCTGATTCAGGGTGACTCGTTGCCAGCGTCTCTTGCGCACAAATGGCAAAAATAGTACTCCTGGCCCAATATAAACGCTTATTACACTCTCGAGAAGTCGAGCTCTTTCAAATTTAATTAATTATATAAAATCAGCTCAAAAATAGTTATATAAAAAATATTATTAATATTTATATCTTTAAATAAGTTTATCATAAACTATATTCCACACTTAGGGTTTGTTTAAGACTGCTTCACTCCACTTTTTTTAGACACACGTGCAGCTCCACACACTTAGGCCCCATTCGCTGGTCTGAAACTTGGCTGAAACTGGCTGGTTGTGCGAGAGAAAAACACTATTTGGTTGGTTTGGTGAACAGTAAAATGTGAGGGAAAGCAGCCGGCTGGTCTGGAACTTCCAGACCAGCGAACGGCCCCTTAGAAAAAAAGGTGAAGTTATCAAAACACCTAAAGCGATGCTCTAAAAACTCTAATTTTTTATGGAGCTGCTCCACGGTGAAGTTTATGGAGTAGATTTTGTGGAACAGTTCCGAACATTCCATGACACTATATATTTGGTTAAACTTAACTAAAGTTTTAGCGATGAGGTGGATGGGGCTTAGAGCATCTCCAAGAGTTTTTAAAAACCCCTCCCAATCTTGATTTTTTTGTAAGATTGAAAAAACACATTTGTCCAACAATTTCTTATCTCACCTTTCAAACTTTCCAAACTTGGGAAGATCTATCCAATCGCGCAAAAATATACAAGTGCTTATCCAATCGGCTCATCCGAAGGTGGAGGGACGTGGGGATAGGGTTCACAATGTAAATGTATTAGAGGGAAAGAAAGTATAAAAGTGGCTGAAGTGATTTGAAAATAGTTTAGGATTCCTGATGTAAAATTGTCTTCTAGCTTTTAGGAGTGAGATATAGAAAATAGTTGAAAAAAGTCAACAAATGTGCTCCCTACTTTATACTTCTGATGTTTTTAGAGATTTGAAAAACTCATTGTTTTACCAATTATTTTAGAAACGACAATATTGAAGATAGTCTTAAGCCCCTACAGCCTTTGCGAACCTTTCAAGTTTCTTCTCATCATTTCTAGCCATATGTCATACATCATTGCATATCATGTACTCTAGTTCATATCATTGTACTCATTTCATATCATGCAAGCAATAGGTGATGAAGCTCCCAAAGAAGTCCCAACCGACGAGAA